GCTGGGGCACAGCCGGACTATCGGAAGGGGGGGCTATGAGGGGTCTGGGGTGGCATCCCCCACCCCAGACCCTTCATAGCCCCTCCTTCTGATAGTCCAGCATATTTGATAATCCGGCACCCTCTGGGTCCTAAAGGTGCCGGATTATCGGAAGTTTACTGTACTATTAAATGGAAGGTTTCCATTGTTGAAGGGCAGTCTACTAAATTACTCTGCTTTGCTGAGTAATAGTTTAATTCCAAACACACAGCATAAAATGTTCTATAATAAAAATGCAATTATTATCTGGGCATGCAACCACTGGGTATTAATATCATAATGAGCACTATTTAATACTGTTCATACATTGGTTCCTGACAGCCAGTTGTAAAATTAGAATTAACATAAATATAATTGTTTTTTCAGGTTGATTGTATTCTATCTGAGAAGCTGGCTATGTTTGAGATTCTGTGTTTTATATTTATCAGGATCTTTGACCCAGCATAATGGCTTAATTCTAGTTTATTTCTAATTGCTTAGCTTGACCTTTTTTGAGATACTTGATCTTCCAGTGTTCATAATAGGGATGGCTCAATTTTATTGAAACATAATATTTTTCTTAAACTCCCCCCAAAAAATCCTGCCCATCTTGCTGTTAAATATATTGCATCATTACTTAATGGAGGGTATTCTCAAGTGCACCAACATTTTTGTATGTTACTACATCTCATATCTGTACAGTAAAGTACTTTCAGCCCTTGCTTATATTTTTTTTACCTAGGAGGCAGATGCTGTGTGCAATCTTATCCTGTCTTTAGTTTATTACTTCTATAATTTAATGCCCCTCTCAAGAGGATCCAGGTTAGTGACTTATCTCTCCATCTGCTATTCTATTTTAATGATTATGGTATTGTTTATCCGCTTAGTGTATTTGTTAATAAAGGGACTTGTGATAAATTGCATCAGCCATCAGGAAACGGAACTTTTATTTACCACTATGGTCTAAGAGATTGATTAATGTTAACAAATTAATCAGTTAATAACCAGTCCATCAATAATGCTATGGGACTACAAATCCCCAGTACTTGAATATCTGATTTAACTAAGGTGTCAGATGTTTCTCTTATCTTTAATAAAAAATACCTCGAAGCACTTTTTCAATTTTTAATTGAGGAAGAGGTTGAATTTTGTATTGTGTAAAATAATTCAAACTGAAAACATTCACTGAAAGAGACATGTTGCTCTTTATTTTTTAGTGTGATAGCTTATTCGGTGATCATGGGAGCACTGATGGCAAGTGGGAAAGAAGTAGCAGGAAAAATACCAAAAGGAAAGGCAAGTTCTACATAAAAATACGGTGGCTCAGCCTAGCTAACAGAAGTGATACTTCTAAGTATGGAGAAGCAGCAGAAGGAATAAGCAAGAACTGAGAGTGTGTGTATCAGGTGTTTGTCCACTCTTTATCATGGTGGCTTACAATTGTATAATGGTTTTTTAGGATTCCTTATGTTTTTGTGGATTCTTGATGACAATTGAGAGACAGTTCATTTCAGTATCTATGGTTAACCCTGAGGCTGCAGCTGTTCCTGTCGATATGGAACTTCCCACAGCAAACTATGTCTTTGTAAGCTTGAGGCCAGATCATGGTTGTGAGCTACTATTTGTAATTGCCTTTGAAAAAGTCTCTGATGTTTCAGCTTGAGCAGAATGGAAATCATCTTTGTGGAGGGCAGTAGGCTCTTATGGGCACAGAATAGTAGTGTTTCCTCTTTGTTTTCATGTAAAGTTCAATGTGGTCACAATTTACAAAGTTCTAAATGGCCTGGAACATATTTACATGGAAAAGCATCTTGCCCTATCTTCTGCCAGAGGAATTTATTTCCCAAGGCTACCGTATTAAAGAGATTCAAGTGTATCTCTATGGGACTGCACTTAAGTGCACGTGCACCTCTTGAGGCTTTAATCGGAGTGTCTGAGACCTCAGTGTGGTACTCCATTACTGTAGAAGTTCAGAGTTACCAGCATTTCAAGAAAGGAGGTTGTTCATAATACTTGAAATATTTGTAACTCTGAACAAAGCATTATGATAGATTTTTCTTAAGTTTTTGCAACTGAACATTTACTTATACAGCTTTGAAACTTTACTATGCAGAAGAAAAATGCTGCTATTAACCATCTTAATTTAAATGAAACAAACACAGAAACAGTTTCTTTACCTTGTCAAATCTTTTTTAACTTTACCTTTTTTTTGCAGGCTGAACCTTTCTAGTCTGACACTCTCTGGTCTGGCAACATTCGTGTTCCTGCATGATTTTAATTAGCCAGATGTCCACTTATCGTGCATGTCGGCAAGTTTTCTGCAGTCCCATAAAATTTATTTACAGCAACCAGTCCTGGCTCTCAGCATTCTTTGCTTTTATTTAGCTCTAATTTATCCCTAAATGCCTTGAAAGAGCCATTAAGCAGTGGAAGTGTTGGTAATACTGCTAGATAATATCAAATTCTTTGGTTCAGCACCTGTCAGGAATTGAGGGTGCTGAACTAGAGAGGTTCAACCTGTAGTAGTTTACACTTAATACAATACTGTTCTGTAGTTGTTTGATGTGTTTGGTTTGGTGTGTTTCTGCTGCTGCCTGATAGTTGACTAAGCTCCAATGGGTTATAAAAGCATTGAAGAAAATTGTTACAGATGTAATCAATAAAAATTTTTGTCTTGCAATATACCAGAACTAAGGATGCAAAAATCCCATTAATCAGTTAACTGGTTAAATATTAGCTTAACCTAATGTTTAACTGGTAAATCATCTAAGTGGGAGCCTGGGTCAGGCTCCTGCTTCCAGCCTGGCAGGCTGCCGGCCCCCAGCCACATGGGGAAGCAGATACCCAGTTACCTATTCACATCCCTAACCTGAACTTCCTTAATCTGGGTCCCCCTTATCCAGGACCCATGGTTCAGATGCCAGTTAGGGGGAGAAGAAAGCAGTTCTGCATGCTGCCATTTCCTCTTCCCTCCCGCTCCCTGATGGGGAAACAGCAGCACAATGAAACCACACCCCTATCCGCCATCATTCCCCCTCTCTCCCAGATCCCATTCCAGCACCCTCCCGTCATCTGAAAAATTCCTTAATACAGCATACCCTGTTTCCCAGGGTTGCTGGGTTAAAGTGTACCTTTTACTGGTGGTGATATGTGAAAACAGCACAGAACCTAGCCTTTCTCTTCAGTATTGGACTTTAGAGGGCTGATTACAAGAAAAAATTGAATTCAATATTGAAATTTAAGACAATAAGCAGAAAACAAATAAGAACAACCATGCTGTCAGACCAGTCGTTCAGCTAGCCCAGTTGTCTTCTGATGGTGGCTAGTGCCAGATGTTTCAGAGGAAGAGAACAGAACAGGGCAATTTTGAGCAATCCATATTGCTTCATCCAGTCCCACTTTTGGTAGTTTGCAATGTAGGGATACCCAGAGCATGGGTTTGCATCTTTACCATCTTTGAATCTGCAATTATACTTGTAGCCTTCATAATGTGCCACAGCAATTAGTTCCACATTCTGATTTTTGCATTGTGTGAAGTACTTCTTTATGTTTTAAATCTACTACCTATTAATTTCACTGAGTGACCCTTAATTCTTGTGTTTTATGTGAAGAGGTGGTTAATAGTTTCTCTACACCATTTATGATTTTATGAACCTGTCATATCCCCTCTTAGTCATCTGTTTTCCAACCTGGAACGTCCCAGTCTTTTTACTCTCGCCTCATATGGAAGCTGTTTCATACCCCTTCTCTATACCTTTTCCAGTTGTAATATATCCTTTTTGAGATGGGTGACCAGAATTGCTTACATTATTCAATGTGTGGGTGTGCCATGGATTTATATATTAATGTTATGGTATTCTATGTTATCTATAATTTTCCTGATGGTTCAGAACATTAGCTTTTTTGATTTGGTGCCTCACATGGAGTAGAATTTTTTTTTTTTTTTATTATCCACAGTGACTCCCAGATCTTTTTCTGGAGTGGTAACAGCTAACTTCGTCACCTCATCATTTTGTATTTATAGTTGATATTATGTTTTCCAATGTGCATTTATTTACACTTATCAATGCTAAACTTCATCTGCCATTTTGTTGCCCAGTCATCCTTCTTACTGGGTGACATGAGTCATTTTGTATTGTCTTCAGATTTTGTCACCTCGCAGTTCATCCCTCACCCCTTTTCAGATAATTTATGAATATTCTGAAAGGTACAGGTCCCAGTACAGATTCTTGGGAGACATTGCCATTAACTTGTCTCCAATATGAAAAAAATGACCATTTATTCCTACCCTTTTGTTTCCTATTGTTTAACACATTATTTATCCCTGAGAGGAACTTCCCTCTTATCCTGTGTCTGCTTAGTTTGCTAAAAAGTCTTTGGTGAGGGACCTAGTCAAAAGCTTTCTGAAAGTCCATGCACACTGGATCACTCTTGTACACATGCTTGATATCCTCAAAGAATGCTAGTAGAACCTCAGTGCCATTTCTGTTCACTTTTGAAAGCGAATTGCCCTTTGAACCTTCCATGGCCTGCAGCAAGTCTTTCAGTGGAGGACCAATTACTAACTTGTTCTCTCCAGCAGTCCCCCAGAGCTTGAGTTTGGTAAGCTTCAAAGCAGTGTGTCAGATGTATTTTTCTAACAGTAATAAAAGCTGTGTTGTTTGTCCCTGTACCAACTGGAAAATAAAACTGGAATTTGTGATATCCAGTGAAAGTCCAATTTATAATCTGGTTGATACAGGATCTGCAGGCTCCTTACTTGGCTCCATATGGCTCCCTGGAAGTGGCAACATGTCCCTGCTGCTTCTGGGAGGACGAGCAGCCTCAGGATCTCTGTGAGTTGCCCCAGCCCCACCCCCAGCACCACAGCCAATGGGAGCTGCGGGAGCAGCAACTGTAGATGGAGGCAGTGTTCAGAATCACTTAGTTGTTTGAGTTGTGAGATTCCACTGCAAAAGAATGAGAACACTGGTGACAATCCAGGTACATTCGCTAATTCCACAGGTTTAGTTTTTCTTAATAGATTAGGAAAGTCATTGGGCATTCTCATGAACGTGCTAACAATACATTTGCATTTTTCAAAATGCGGTATATTCTTAGTCCTTTGTAATTGTTTGTTGATGATGTGTTTTGTTTCAGTTGGTTGATTTTGAAGCCATGACAGCACCTGGTTCTGAGGCCTTTAGCAAAATAGCCAGAAGCTGGATGAATCTCCAAAGGTAAATGTTTTGTCAAAGAAGAAAAAAATTGAAACTATTTTGAGCAGATGTAAACAAAATGGCTACGTCTAGACTGGCATTATTTTCCGGAAATGCTTTTAATGGAAAAGTTTTCAGTTAAAAGCATTTTCGGAACAGAGTGTCTAGTTTGGCACAGAGGCTTTTCCGCAAAAGCACTTTTTGCAGAAAAGCGTCTGTGACAATCTATATGTGCTTTTCCGCAAAAAAGCCCCGATCGGCATTTTCGCAATCGGGGCTTTTTTGCGGAAAACAAACCTGAGCTGTCTACACTGGCCCTTTTGCGCATAAGGACTTTTGCCCGAATGGGAGCAACATAGTATTTCCGCAAGAACACTGACAATCTTACATGAGATCGTCAGTGCTTTTGTGGAAATTCAAGCGGCCAGTGTAGACAGCTGGCAAGTTTTTCCGGAAAAGCGGCTGATTTTCCGGAAAAACTGGCCAGTCTAGACACAGCCACCATGTATATGTATGCAAAACAAATATGATCTGTGATAGTCTGTAGTAAAGCATAAATGTTAAGATCATGCATCCTGTGAGCCAGTTTACTGAATTACAGCCTGTCATCATAAAATTCACTGTAGTGCAGAGGACATGCATATGATTATATGTAACAAAGAAAATCTACTTAATGACTATGCTAAAGGTTAATGTGGTACATAAGGCCTTGACAGAGTCAATTCAGTCTGTGTTAAATTGTTTAACCTGTAACAAAATGTAGAAGTTTTGTTTTTGTTTTTGTTTTAATTGCCAGTGGCTACATATCCTACATAGCATTTGTGCATAGTAAGATAAGTGACTTTCAAAGAGGGCCTGCCCAGCAATCTAGGAGCAGTATAAAGTGTTGAAGCATACAGATGATAATTTGGGTTTGGTAGCACTAGGGGAAAAGTGAGTCACTACTGATCCATCCTACTTTGGCTAATTCACATGGTGTTGGAAAGATCTACATCTAACTCACTTATTGGAGGTTCTCAACAATACCAAGTCTCCAACGGCATTTATGGTGGAGAAATTAAAAGGAGCTAAAAATGTGTGTGTTTTTAGTGTAGAATGGAAATCTACTATTTAAAAACCACCCTATATTATCTAACTTTTAAAGATCAGATTTTTTTTTTATAGGCTGAAAAAAATCCTTTAGCTGAAAGTTCCTGTATAAAACTTAGGTGCCAATACATAACCTGGAGCAAATTGTTGAGTTGATATTTACGAATAGGCAATTACAAGTGAAAATAGGCATTTATTGTTGTCCTAACATTGTAAGTTATCTGTGTTCATATATCTGTTACTCTAGAAAGATTCTCTGACATTTAGTCCCTTTACTCAAGTGGTAAAACTTTAAGGAACATTTTTTTTTTTTTAAATCTGAGCAACTGAGGTTAAAATGTGAAAACAAAACACAATGCTAACCAATTCTTTTTTCAGTTTTCTTTTGGCACTGTTACCTAAGTTAAAACTTTCCATGGATTTCTCAAATGAAGACAAATGGTTCTCTTAATTTGTAAACCAAATGCCATTATAGTTATTTAGAAGCTTCAAAACAGGATTACATTTCTTAATTTTATGAGTCCCTTTATTTGATATTTGAAACATATATTTTAGTGTGGCTCCAGACATATTTACAATGGAGTAAAACAGGTGCTCATATCACAAAAATGCCACAAACTTGGCACTAATTTTTCCTTTGTGGTCATTCTCCATATAAAAGCAACATTTGAATGGCCTGGAAGTTGAAATAAATTCCTAAACGTTTCTAAAGGTGGTCCATTTAGGCCAAGATTAAGGCACTGTATGGGGTAGTTTAAGGAAACTCTGCACTGCTGCTCTGTGTTGTACTATTTCTGTTGATAGTTTACCTTGTTTATATCTTGTCAGTCTGTTAACTTTCCCTGGAATTATTTCAATGAAGGAAAGCATAAACATTCAGGCACGTTAATTTGAATATAAAACTGATTGCACTTTCTCAACAAATTTACTTGTGAGGCAAACAAATTCAGTTTTCTTATAAAGGAAAGGAATACAGTAAGTAAGTACGCTGGTGCAACTTTGAAGCAGACCATATGTTTCTTCATTGAGTGGTATCCCTGTGGGTGCTCCACTCAGGTCTTGGTGCATCCTCGCACCCCTGATTGGAGATTTTTGGTGAGCAGTGCCCCTCGCGCTGTGCCTGTGCACCCAGCATCGCGCACCCCTGCCATTTGTCGAGTGTGCGTGTGGCATGAGCCCTGTCAGTTCCATTTCTACTGCCCTCAGCTGAAGACGGAGTCAGATCGGTGCTCTTCTTCTTGACAGGAAAAACAAAAATTACTATAGTTAGTTTAGAATTTTCCTCATAGTTGAGTCAGTTAACGACAGTTTTCAACATTTGCTTAAAAAAAAAAAAGACACAGAGAAGCACCGCGGTGGTGGCTTTTTTCTTCAACATGCTGGGCTCTCCTGGCTTTAAAAAATGTGACTCGTGTCGAGACTCAATGCCTATTTCTGATGGCCATGCCTCCTGCATTAAATGCCTGGGAGAGACTCATGCAGTACATAAGTGCCCGCACTGTCAGAACGTGACAGCCAGAGCTAGAAAAGACTGCGAAATGTGGCTGAAAAACCTCCTCTGGGAGAAGTCCCCACAACCACTATTGAACAAACCTGAGGAGACATGGGGACAGCAGAAGCCTGTTGACAGGGCGGCTTCACCACCCCGCAAAGGCTCACAAGCTTCGCGGGCTTCCCCAACACGCTCATTACCAGCACTGCCTAGAGCCTCTCCTTCCCCAGTGCTGTCAGTCTATGGTACCGTGGAGAAACGCAAGTCTGCACCAGCCAGGAGAGCTGAGTCAGAACCCAAGCACACCACACTGGTCAGTGTTGCTGAGGCTGCGGCACCTACAAAGCCGCATATGCCACTAGCTCCCACATGCACCGCCACGGTGTCTGAACAGACTGGTCAGACCGAACTCGACCACGCTCCAGCACCACTGCATAAGAAAGCGCTGTGCAAGACATGGTACTTACAAAAATTTCCTCAGCTAGGTACACAGCTCAGACCAAAAGCTTGCTCACCGCGCTCCTCAATGGTGTCTCATACCCAGGGGCACACTCATATGCCAGAAAGGTCTCCTCACTCTCTTATGCTTCTCTCACCAAGAACTGACTATGGCAGCAGACATAGCAGCAGATTTTCTTCATGCGATTCATTTCCCTTGGGATCAATGGCTTCCTGGCATTCATATCGGGATCATTCCCTACAACAACATCCCCTATGGCCCAACCAGCCATGGATAAATCCTCCACAGCAGTTCCATCCACATTGGCCCTCCCGGGAACCATGGCAAGGGTACCAGCCACGTTCCTCCCATGCTTACCACTCGAGATACAGTTCCTACATTACAACAGTACACATCTATGCGCTCCCCGACCATATCCGTGCATTCCTCACCATCTCACCCGCCCTCAGTAATAACACAAGCGGGCTTCACTGATAATGATAACTTACCTCATTCAGACTCAGAGAGTTCCTTACACAACCCCAGATCCACTAGACCAGATGAGGCAGTTTTCCAGATATCGCCCTCTCCACCGGAAGACAATCTAAAACAATTTCAGGAATTATTTAAGTGGGTAGCTCAATCACAGGACTTTACACTCCAAGAGGTACAAGACAAACAATACAAATTACCGATAATACTACAACCCATGGCATCCTCACAGATAGCTCTACCCATCAACGAAGCTATCCTGGAGCCATCAGATTTGCTGTGGCGAACTCCAGCCTCTATGTCCACCCCCACCAGTCCCCTACAAACCACAGCGCGGATAGAAAATACTTTGTCCCTGTCAAAGATATGGACTTCCTCGTTGTACATCCCCTGCTGACCTCACTGGTCATAGACTTGGTTAATCACAAGGCTAAGAACCCACAATTTAAATCTACACCCCACGACAAAGAGCATAAGTGGTCGATCAACTTTGGCCGTAAGGTATACTCTTCTGCCACCCTCCAATTCAGGATATCGAATTATACAGCCCTCCTGGCTAACTATGATCATGCCAACTATGCTTAACTACAGGACCTACTGCAGGATCTTCCTGATGTTGAGACTGCACCTCCAGTCCATTAAGGAGGGTTTATCAATAGCAAAAAAAGCCCACCAGGCTGCAATGGATATCGCTGACATGATGCCTAGGGCCACAGCAATTGTAATGCATAGGGCCTCATGGCTGCAGTCATCAGGGGTCCAAAAGAATTGCAATCGAAAGTGGAGGACCCTCCTCTTTGATAGAAAACAGCTATTTGCCACTTAGACAGATGAAGTCCTACAATGAAAGACTCTCGTACCACACTCCAGCGATATAAACCCCACCTAATAAGAAACACAAGTATACTCCTTACTAAAGGCCAAGGGACTATAATTATAGCGATTATAGATAATAGCAGAGGTCTTATGACAACAGGCCCAAGCAACGCCCTAGCAGGAGGAGGATGCAGCAAAACCAGTCATCCACCACTCAATCGACTTCACACAAACAATAAATTTGAAGTCTTGGTTGGGGGTCTGAGTGACCACCCCACAGATCCAGTGCATTCCAATGCCATCTTTCATCGCCACTGAGACCCTTCTACCAACAGTGGGCCCAAATCACCACAGACAAATGGGTCCTGGAAATTATCAAATCGGGTTACACAATTCCCTTCACATCCATGCCAGCTACCCAACCCCCTACCCTGTCCCTCTTCAGGGACCCATCTCATGAGCCCCTATTACAAACAGAGATGCAAAAGTTACTCACCCTAGAAGCAATAGAACCTGTTCCCACAGAATATCGAGGAAGAGGGTTCTACTCCAACTATTTCCTATCAGTCAGAAAACAGGGGGCTGAAGACCAATCTTGGATCTCAGGAAATTCAGCATGTTCATCCTCAACACAAAATTCAAGATGGTGACCCTGGCAACTATCATACCCGCACTGGACAAAGGGGACTGGTTCTTAGCCCCTGACCTTCAAGACACACATTTTCATGTAACCATCTACCCAGCCCACAGGAGATTTTTCAGATTCATCATAGGTCATTACTAGTACAGGGTCCTCCCCTTTGGCCTTTATGGCCCCTCGAGTGTTCTCGAAGACACTAGGGGTATGTCTACACTACCACCCTAGTTCGAACTAGGGTGGTTAATGTAGGCAACTGAAGTTGCAAATGAAGCCCGGGATTTAAATATCCCGGGCTTCATTTGCATCTTGCCGGGTGCCGCCATTTTTAAAGCCCCGGTAGTTCGGACTCCGTGCCCGCGGCTACACGTGGCACAGAGTAGGTAGTTCGGATTAGGCTCTCTAATCCGAACTACCGTTACTCCTCATGGAACGAGGTGTACCGGTAGTTCGGATTAGAGAGCCACTAGCCACTACATCACAGTACCTGTCCATGAAGGATAAAGGATACCAAGGATAAAGTTATACTCAGGCCTCACCCGAAGTTCCTCCCGAAGGTCATATCCAACTTCCACTTAAATTTACTTACCTACTTACTTTCCTAAACCTCATACCTTCTCCAAGGAGGCCATCTTGCACACGTTAGATGCAAGACGAGTGATTGCGTTCTATCTGGATAGAACTAGGGGAACCAGAAAATCAGACTTTGTAGCGTGGTCTGGGCCACATTCAAGAACAGCAGTCTTGGCACAGGGTGTATCCAAATGGCTTGCCAACTGCATACATACAGCTTATGAACTTTGTGGCAAGCAGCCACCACAGATTATCAGGGCTCGCTCCACGTGTGCAATGGCCACAACGGCCTTCCTAAATAACATACCATTGGTGGACATTTGTAGAGCAGCCATGTGGTCCTCCCATCACACTTTCGCACAACATTGCGCCCTACAGAAATGGCCAATACCCTCCACATCTCTGGTAGATGCAGTCCCTCCTTCCTCTACATAAATGACTCCAATGCCCACTACCATCTGATGGGTACTGCTACTGAGTCACCTGAGTGGAGCACCCACAGGGACATCAGTTGATGAAGAAGTAGTAGTTACTCACCCGGCACAGTAACGATGGTTCTTTGAGATGTATGTCCCTGTGGCTGCTCCACCACCTCCTTCCTTCCCCTTCCCTCCCCTCCCCCCATCTTCCCCTCTGCTTGGAGTCTTTAGGGGACTTCAGGTAGAAAAGGAATGGATGGGGCGCAAGATGCTGGGTGCGCAAGCATGGCTTGAAGGGCACTGCTCACCAAAAATCTCCAATCAGCGGTGCGAAGATGCACTGAGACCTGAGTGGAGCATCCACAGGGACACATCTCAAAGAACCATTGTTGCTGCACCGGGTGAGTGACGACTTCTTCTTTTTAATTGAGTCCACACAAACTTTGACTGTTATCTTGTACAGATATTATGGTATTAAAATTAATATTCATGGTGTGCAAACTATAAATATTCATTTTCAATTTTTAATCTCACACTTAATTTATGTATTATTTAAAGTATTAAAAGAAGTGTTGATATCACCTTCACTATGAAGAGAAATTCAATGATATGAAAGCAACCTCTCCCAATTTGTGGTTAGCAATTTGGAGTGGTTATTTTACAAAATGAATAATGGTTGTTAGAGGAATAAAATCATAGTTCATCCTAATGATTGCCACCCCAGAAAGTTCCTTTATACAGGTGATTGCCTCATTCTTCATTCTGAGACTACTTTCTGAGCTGAGAGTCATGGTGAAGAAAAGGTTTGGGCAACAAACTCATGACCAAAATTGGGCCGTAAATCTGCACAAACTGAAACTTTGTCCTTGAAGTAAATTTTTAAACTTTGTTACAGTTTGTTAATTTTGTTCTCTTTGCAGTATTTCTCCTGCTTACAAGAGTCTCCCATCAGTATCAGAGACGTTTCCAACATTAAGAACAATGATTGAGGTGCTAAATGCAGATTCTTCTCGTTGTCTTAAAAAAACTCTAGTTGCTGTTTAATTTATACAAATAAAGAGCCAAAACCTCTTGTTTTGTAAATTATTTTTGAAAAGGAAAAATTATGAAGACACTGGTCTTAAATTATTTTGATACAATTTTTGATAAATGTAATACTTGAACTATTTTATTTACCTTACGGGCTCTCAACAAGTGGGAAAATCTTTGATTGAAAATATACAATGACTGTGAAGGATGGGGGCATATGGCAGCTTCATTTGTTTTAATGCATAATTTAATGCCACTGCTTTCCTAAGTGCAAATTTATTTCAGTGACCAAATCTAAGGCAATATGATATAATTGAATGGTAACTATTTTGAACCTGCTGCCGATATGGATTTTGTTCTTAAAAAATGTTTTTCTTAATGCACTTTGAAAATCCCATATCTTCTCTGTCTTTCAGTCCTACATTTTCAGGTTCTTCAAAACAAAACATTTTACTATGAAGAATAGTTTCAAATGCCTGTTTGATGAATAATGTCAGGAACACTTGTAAAGAATTTGATGTCAGGAAAACAAACTTTGGAAATAAAAGTAAACAAATAATGTGCTTAAAATGAGCTTTTTCTGGTGAGCAAGTGACAGACTTGTACTAAGGGGTGGTGTTGCCTCCAAGTGAGTCTAGCATTCTGTTGTTGGGTTTCTTGATCGGAAGGACACTAATAGTCTGTGAGTGTACTGGGAGAGCCATCTGGAGTGGTGCTTAAGCAGCTGGCTTCTCAGATGATGGGAGGGAAGGAAAATGAGAGCTAGTAGGGTACCCCATCAGGCTGGCCTGGCTCAGCAAAGATAGTGTGGGCATAGGGCAGCACCACAAATTATAGTTCCTAGAAGGTGGGTTTTCTTTCAGGCAGCAACAAAAGAGAACACCGCCATTTGCAGGGAGTCTCAGTAAGCTGCGGCATATCTTCAGAGCCAAGGTGACCTATGTGGCATATACAGGTTCTGTCTTCTGAATGATCTTGGCAGCTTTTGTGAAGAAGATGACTTCACACATAGTATCCTATAGACTACAGTAGGTTAGACGGTTCATTTAATCAATGCAACCATTTTCTCAATTACTTAATCTGGGCTAGTTTTTTAATCTTTAATGTTCTCCTGCATCTCAAAAATAGTAAACAATTAAAACAAAAACAAACTTCTCATTCTAGGATCATGACTTTCAACACTTTCAGAAAGCTGTCATTTTTTTTAACAGTATCACATTACAAAATTCACTCTTTGTTGACACAAGCACTTTATGGACACAGTATTCCCTTCACAAGTCTGTTACCTGTGTTTTATGTACTCTACATTTTCCAGAGCTCAAGATTATGTGGGCAACTGCTATGTTGTCAGAGAAAGTGCAAGAAATATCTGGGCAAGCAATTTCTTTGCAAGGGGCGTGAAAATGATATACCTGCAACCATGTGGAGCTTGAATGTGACCGGTACAGAGAGATCATTTAGCAGCAGGAAGCAAGCAATTTCCAACACCCAGAGTATCAGACCCTGCCCAGAAGAGAATAGCCATATATCTTCTGTAACCTTTCCTCCTTCAGGCAATGAGTGCTGCAGTTCCCTGATGTTCTCTAGCTATTCAAGATGCCCACAGATTCCCCTCTCTAGCACCCTATTGCCTCAAGAGGTAGCCTTTCAATTTTAGAGGATATACATGAAGAAAAATGTACCCCTAAAGAAAGTGATAAATAACTGTGAATGCTAATGTCTGTGACTGGGGGGCAAGGGACCGGCTCTGAGAATAGAATTGGAGGGGCAGTGGATTTAGGTAAGGGAAGGGAGTTGAAAACATGCATTCCGTGAAGAGGAATTACCACAGCATTAGTTTTAATAATTGTCACCAGCACACTGTACTAGAGTGACTGCTATCACTCCATAGTTAAGGTTGCATCTGAGTTTCCATTGTAAGTTCAGTGTTCCCTTATCCCTAAAATTTAGTCTAACTGCTCTCAAATTAGTAGGTTAGATCTGTGTCTGCAACAGAATCTTTCAATGAAGTTTTAAGTTACCTGAACAGGAGGGTTCCAAATTTGACATCCTAAAGATAATATATGGGAGGTTTTAGTATTTTTTTAATTGCCATGATAGCAAAGAATACAAAACAGGAGACAAATCAAAACTCAGTTTATTGGGCTCTCCTTGCAGATCTAGAGCAGTGGTTCTCAACCAAGGGTGTACACGTACCCCAGGGGTACGGAGATTTTCCATGGAGTACTCAACTCCTGAAGATCAGTATTTCTCATCCTGATTATGGGGATTGCAACTGTAAGGCCAGCATCAGAGAGGGCAAGCATAGCAATTAACCAGGGCCGCCATGCTACAGGGAGTCCTGTGTAACTAACTTACATGCTTCAGTGCCGGGTGGTGAGGCTTGGGCTTCAGATAAGTCTCAAGTGGAAAACAGCCTCAAGTAGCACATTGAAATGTAAGTATAGTATTTATTTTCCAATTGATTTATTTCATAATTATGTGGTAAAAATGAAGAAAGTAAGCAATTTTTCAGTAACATGCTGTGACCCTTTTGTATATTTGTCTGATTTTGTAAGCAAGTATTGTTTGTGAGGTAAAACCTGAGGTTCATAAGACAAATCAGGCTCCTGATAGAGATACAGTAGTCTGGAAAGATTGAGAACCACTGACCTAGAGACTACTCCAGTTTTTCCTGTAAACTCTGCACTTGTGCAGCCACTCAGAAGAAATTCCAATGCTACCCAGTTGATTAGCGAAGTGCCCACAGTTAGATTTGTATTTCTCCTGGTAGTGCACATTCACACATGCCTCAGTGAACATAACGAAATTTATTCTGCACGTGGATGTAAAAAATCACATGGATGAATAGAGAACTTTGGACTATGCTCAAATTTCAATAATTAACTGTGATCATTGGGTCAAGCCACCTTAGAAGAGGTCATGACTTGATACCTGAAGATCTAAATATTCACTTGTATAAAAAGTGTCTCTTGCACATTTCTTGGGGGGGAGGGGAGGGCTTAATTTAACCTGAAAAATGGGTGTGGTTAGAGTTCCTGTTTGTTCTGAACATTATAGTTCACAGTGTACACTGAAGATACATCAGAAGGTGAAAACATCCATTTTCCTTCCATTTATTTCTTTCTCCTCCCATACATTACGGAAACAAATCCTACTTTGTTCTACATTAGGTACTCCCCTGTGTAATGTAAGTGCTGTTAGAATATTTTTTCCATTGTGCATTTGTAACTCCCATTTATTGGAAGTGTAAATTGTAGCAAGAGTGGTCTTTTTGGAGAGAAGAGATAGATGTACCAAGATTCGAACATGCATTCACCAGACATCATGTTTAATATCTATTTGATAATTGATCCAGATAGCGCTTGAAGACCCAGGATTATGGGAGGATTGGCATTACTTCAAGAAAAGGAAGCCTCACAGGAACAGCAGCAGAAATTACATTGCAGAGCCTAAGTCTATTGGCAAGGCTGTATTTAATTAGAGGAAAATCTGGCCAGTCTTCCTGCACTGTCTGGCATGTCAAAGGGAATACATTTAAAAGCCTAAAATAAGTGTGGTGTTCCTTGTAAACAGCTCCCATCTATCATTGCTCTTAAATAATTTGTGGTATTGGAGTCTTAGCTTGTTCACCCTTCTTCTGTTTGGGCATCTTTTGTATCTTCCTTCCAGTCATAAGTACTACGTGTTTCTAATGTACTTGATATCTAAGGATCTCAAACTCAGGAACATTTCCCTGGCCTTATACACAAACAAATCCCTATTTTATCTACTACACTTTCTTTCACTTTTCTGATGGACTTCAGGTGCACTCATCCTTACTTTTATTTTGAAAGAATCAAGAAACATGAATTATACTAATTGAAACTGTGTGTCAACTTGCTTTTCTGGGGCTATGTCTACACTGGCACAATCTTGCGGCAGAAGTATGCAAATGAGGCTAAGCGTGGAATATCGCTGAGCCTCGTTTGTATATCTAATGAGCCACCATTTTTGCATTAGAAGTTCTTGCGCTAGAAGGAGCTGTCTACACTGCCCCTTCTTGCATAAGAAAAACCCTCTTGCACAATGCCCTTATTCCTGAAAATAATCAGCAGCATTGCATAAGAGGGTTTTTCTTATGCAAGAAGGGGCAGTGTAGACAGCTCCTTGTGGTGCAAGAGCCTCTTCTGCAAAATGGTATTCCACCCTTAGCCTCATTTGCCTATTTCTGGTGCAACAACCTGCCAGTGTAGACATAGCCTGTGTGTGTAATATACAGGCTGACTAATAAAGAATGAGTTTGTCCAATACTTCCAAACTAATTAAACAGAGGTAACTGGGCTAATGGGAGAAGCCTAATTATATAGTAGAAAGTTATCTTCCATCCTTTCCCACACCAATCCAGACACAGTGGGCTTTGCAGCACTATCCCTTTCAGCTCAAAGACTGGAACAGTAGGATACAACATCTCAATACTCTTCAAATGAACCCATATGGACACTGATTAGAATTAATGTGTTTGCCTTGCAATCAGTTCCTGCAGCTCTACTGATGTTAGCTATCCTGGCCACTAATACTCCTAACTGAATAGAATTCTGCTGCACTTGTAACTGGTAGGGCTTTGTCCTATTGAAAATATTCCTCTTCTGCCACACCAACTGGGACAAAAGTTTTATTTATTGTAGTTGTAGAAAAAAATCATTCATTGCTCTGGGTACTTTCACAATAATATAAATGCTAATCTGCCCTTCTGTATATTTATACAGTAAAAATGTAATTTAACAGAATGCCTACTTCAAGATATTGAACTTCTATTTATCTTTTTTTAAAAGTCAAAATTTACACACACTTGATGTTATAGATTGAACCTCTCTGGTCTGGCAACATGCATGACCGGGCATGATTTTACTGGCTCTCAGTGTTTTGTGCTATTATTTAGCTCTAATTTACCCCTAAATGTCTTCTAAGAACCCAGTAAGCAGTGGAAGTGTTGGTAATGCTACTAGCCAATATTCTGAGGGTGCCAAACTAGAGAGGATAAACTTCAACAACAACAACAAATAGTCTGGTAGCACTTTAAAAACTAACATCTATGTAGATGGTATCATGAGCTGCCCACGTCTTCAGAGGGCCAGCCCCACTTTTGGTTATTGGAAGAAGTGGTCTGTGCCCACTAAAGCTCATGATACCATCAACATGTTTTGTTAGTCTGTACAGGATCAACTTAAAAAACAATAAATAGTCCGGTAGCACTTTAAAGACTAACTCAGCTACCCCCTACAGCTTTTAAACTAGAGAGAAGGTCAACCTGTACTATACTCTGCTAAAGACAAGATCAGAGATTTCTGCATTTTATTTTTGCACAGCTTGTCACAGTTTTAGTTTGACTTGAGAGCAGCTGGTAAGTGAAGGGAGAAGAAAGGAAAAGGGGAGTGTACCGAGGGAGGAGGAGGGGACAAAAGGGAGCGGGCAGAGAGGAGGGAGGGTACAGGGCGCGTGTAGGAGGAAAGGGGAGGGCACAGGGCGGTGGCCAGGAGGAGACAGGCCGGGGGCGTGCGAAGGGAGCAGCAGAGGGTGTGGCGGCGGCA